GGGGCCGGCTCTCCCGTCGGGTCCCTGGGGCCGGCTCTCCCGTCGGGTCCCCGGGGCCGGCTCTCCCGTCAGGGAGCCTGGGGCCGGCTCTCCCGTCGGGGGCCTGGGACCGGCTCTCCCGTCAGGGGGCCTGGGGCCGGCTCTCCCTCCATCTCTCATCCCCTCGCTCCAGGGCTGCATGAACAACATCACGTTTGGGAACGAGCACATGAGCTACTATGAGACGGTGGCGGGCGGCGCGGGGGCCGGGCCCCACTGGCATGGGCGCAGCGGGGTGCACACCCACATGACCAACACCCGCATCACTGACCCCGAAATCCTGGAGAAACGGTGGGTGTGGGTCTGGGGCCCCATGGGGAGCACCCCGTCTTTGCGGGGCTCTCGGCTAGGGCCACACCTCCTGGGGGGACACGGGGCAGGGAGTCTGGGAGAAAGGCCTGGGGAGGGGGCTGGATGGAGTGGGAGTGGCAACAGCCAGGACTCCCAAGACCTTTGGGGTAACCCCAGCTCTTTAGGGGCCCCACCGAGCCGATGGGCTCTCGGGGTTTAGTGTCCTCGGCCCCTGTAACCTCTGGCTGGGGGGCTGAGCCGGCTGGGGGTCCCAGGATCTCCCCGCTCTCTGCTCGGGCAGTGGCTGTGTGTGCAGCGGGACAGGGTGGAGGGTGCTGCCAGTGGGAGGGGGGTCGCCCATCTCCCCAGTGACGCTCCCTTCCCCCCCCCAGGTACCCAGTGATCCTGCGCTGCTTCGAGCTGTGCCGGGGCAGCGGGGGCAGCGGGCGGTTCCGGGGTGGGGACGGGGTGATCCGCGAGCTGCTCTTCCGCGAGGAGATGGTGCTGTCGGTGCTGAGCGAGCGCCGGGCCTTCCGCCCCTACGGCCTGCACGGTGAGCCCCTGCCATGGTCCGGCCCTGTGTCCCAGCCCCCCACCTGGCCCCCATCCCCTCCGCACCCCTTCACTCCCTGTCATCTCACTTCATCTCACTGCCCAGCTCCTCGTGGTATCCCCATCTGATCCTCCCTCTGACCCCCCCGTCTAACCCCCTCCCCTCCCTCCGACCCCCCATCTAACTAGGGTTGCCGGGCATCTGGTTTTCGACCTAGGAGCCGGAGGGACATCTGGGCGCCACGCAGATTTCCTCCGGCCCTGGGGAATGCCAGGGGTTGCCTGACTTCACCATCGCCTGGAGCCTGCACCCCTTGCCCCAGCCCTGAGCTCCCTCCCACACACCAAACCCCTCGGCCCCAGACCAGAGCCCTCTTCTGCACCCCAAAGCCCTTATCCCCGACCCCACCCTGGAGCCCTCACCCCTCCCACACCCCAATCCCCTGCACCAGCTCAGAGCCCCATCCCACCCTTCAGACCCCTCAGGCCCAGCGTGGAGCCCCCTCCTATGCCCCAAACCCCTCATCCCCGGCCCCACCCGGAGCCTGCATCCCCCCCCACCCCAATCCCCTGCCCCAGCCCGGTGAAAATGAGTGAGGCCTTGGCTACACGGGCAATTCACAGCGCTGCACTCGCTGCGCTCAGGGGTGTGAAAAAACAC